GATTGCTTGGGTACCTCTGTCCCATTCGTGTTTCAACCGTGAAGCAGCTGTGTTTGCATGGCTGTGTTTCGGTTTGAAGGGTGGGATATGGCGTGAATTTACAGGGTACAGAGGAATAACACCTGAGTCCTCAGGAATGGCAACGCATGGGGGTATCATGGACGAAACAGTATACTCTGTTATGTCCATGGTACTATTCATGTCTATAAGCGACGGTTACCACTTTCCGTCAGGTGGGCCGTCAGCTTGTTTGCCATTCTAAGTTGTATAAAAAAAAACCTTTAATCCTGCCCATTCAACCTAAACTATATATTTTATAAATGTAAAACTTATTTCATCATAATTTCTTAACTCTACGACAGCGTTTAATTAGCTAACTATTTATTTACTTCACTGCCTCGGTCCTAGATCGGGAAATTATAAAAAAAGCCACGCGTATACGAACAAGCCCTGCACTGGAATGAGCAATCGTCGCAAATTGCACCTTAAATGGCATACAAAGCATTAATTAAAGCATAGTTGACGAGAAAAACTAAAGGCATTTCGCTTCAATCTCAATTAAGTATGCAAATAAGCTATTTAGGGATTTGATGTTGATATCTAAGTACTGAGACTTCTGCAAAATCATTATTACACAAAACCTGTTTAAAGGTAGATATACCACTTTCCATCAGGTGGGACGACAGCCTTTTTGCTATTCTAAGTCTTTTTTTTATGCAACTTAGAATGGCAAACAAGCTGACGGCCCACCTGATGGAAAATGGTAACCGACGCCTGTAGACATGAGCAGTACCATGGACATAACAGTATACTGTTTCGCCTATGATACTCCCCATGCGTTGCCATTTCCGAGGAGTCAAGTGTTACTCCTTTGAACCCTGTAAATTTACTGTCATATCCCACCCTTCAAACTGAAATACAGCCATGCAAACAACTGTTTCATGGTAGAAACACGAATGGGACAGAGATGGCCAAGCAAATGACTTTTGTACAAAGTCTTCCGCTGGTAAAAATAAGTAAGTTGCATAAAAAATAACATATTATATGATTTTTTAAACGTTACTTGAATAAGCTATATGCGATGTATACACATAAAAATGTAATAAAGTTTTATATTATTATATGTATTAGCCATTAAATGTCCACAGCTGAACATAGGTTTTCCTGTAAAAAGAGTTTTGTCAGTAGTTGCCACACTTGGCAGGTGAGTTGGTAACTGCAGTTCGACTTTGGTGATGTTCTAAGAGGGACGCTGCTGCCCAGCCCTTGAGCATTACGTTTCTTTACGTTATTCGCCTCTTACACCCACGAGAAAAGAATCGGTGGTCCAATCTATGCCGGGACCACACCGCATGGTACAAGTAGTTTGTGTATCTATAAACTTTATTAATATTATAAATGTGAAAGTGAGTTTGTTTGTTAACTTATAGTGCGTTAATGGCTTAAAAAGTCACTATGACATTTGGTATACACATATTATATGGGACGGAGAAGAATATAGGCTACGTTTTATTCCGGTCAGTTAACATATACCAATCACGAGGATGAAGTCGCGGGTAAAAGCTAATAATTCATATATAAAATAGAAGAATTTGTCTACATATTTGCACGCGCTAATTTTCGGAACTACCAGTCGGTTTTGTTTTATTAATCGAGGATAGAAAGGTTTTGTTTTAGGTTATTAATCAAGGATAGCGAGCTTTTGTTTTGGGTTAATAATCGAGGATAGTGAGTTTTTGTTTTTGGGTTATTAATTGAGGATAGTGAGCTTTAGTTTTGGGTTATTAATTGGGGATAGTGAGGTTTTGTTTTGGGTTTTTAATTGAAGACAGTGAGGCTTTTAACCCTATAAAATTACGGGTGAAACCACAAGGTAAAGTCACTGTAATTTAATTTCACTTTAATTTAATTGTTTGCAATAAACAAAACAAGTAAACAATTAAATAATAATCCGTGGCCAACTGTGGCAAGTCAATAAACTGTTAAGAGTTATAATTTTGACAAAGATACGGATTGATAAGTGAAGTGGCTGAACGTAGTGGCTCGACGCTGGCTCGATGTTAATTCTATTAAACAATTGTTATTGTTCGTTGTCACCGAGATAATGTTACGTGTCCGCCGCGTGGTTTTTGTTATTTTTTTTATCGCACACCCCGTGGGAAACGTTCGCATGCCCGCCATATTGTCTCGGCCGTAACATTATGTTTTTATTACTGTTTTTAAATAATCTTTAAAATCGTACATAATGGCGAATTGTTCAATAGTCGATTTAGAATGAGGTCGCTGCGATTTATTTGTTTGTTTTGTCTATTTTTTTGCGTTTAATTACGTTTTTAGCGACGATTATGTGTTCGATACGAATTGGTTTTGTCAATTTGTGATTTTATAGCTTTGTAATTGTTTAATGTGTTATTATTTTAAATAGAATTGATATTAAAATCACGGTTTGATGGAATCATGTTAATATTGTACATGCGAAAGTTTGTAATGGGATAGAGTTAATACATAGCAATGTTTATATATTTTAGTTACAGTATTTATATACTGGTCCAATAACGAATATATTAAAAGTCTGTTATTAGAATAATTTTAATTAAATTGAATTAATTTTTAATTAGCGTCATTATTATTTTAACCGTTTCTTGTACATTATTAAACAAAGGTTTTCGCTCAGTTATGTAGTATTTTCTAAAATAATATATATGTAATGTTACACGATGATAATGTAGCTTCTTAAAGGTGAAAGAATTTTTAAAATCGATAGAGTAGTCGTTGATTTTCTTTATTACAAACAAACAAACAAACAATCAAATCTTTTCTCTTTATAACATAAGTATAGAAGTACAGACACCATAGACTACTTAAGCAGTCTATAAATTGTTATCTTTAGCTCGAATCAAATTTTCGATTCGAGAATCGTTACAAATCATCACAAATATCTTGCATAATTTTGTTGAATTTTTAGTCGAGTAAAAGTAATGATTTGTTACAGACTCTACCCTATTTCGTAATACTTTAATTATGTTATAAAGTTATATTATAAATTATTATAATAATAAATATATATAATTACACCCAATAATAATAATTATATAATAAATTAAATTGATAATAGGTGGCTACAAGTGTTTGTAGAGTTCAAATTAGCTTTTAAGAACTTTCCTATCACGTATGGATATAAAAATTTGTAATAAATATTATTATAATTTGAATTTATATTGTGCGTAATATTTTAGTTTTTATGGGTGTAAAATGTTCAGCCATGCGGGCCTTATTGTTATTATTTTAATCGCAACTTTGTAAGTTCTTCGCAATTTCAGGACATGTTCGTTGGGATAGCAGGTAGTGTAAATATTCTATTGCATACCAGTTATGGTGTCAGTAGGTGACATACTCATTATCATATTTTTATTAATATAAATTTTTATATAATTAATTATATTAAATCATTAATATATTTAAGTAAACGTTTATTTTAGTTATTAAATATATTTGTTTAGGAATTTTAGGATAAAATTAATAAACATTATTTTAACATTATATTTGACCGTATAATTTAGGTTTGATTTTGAGGTGCCATTCTAAATTACTTATCTGTAAAATAAATAATTTCATTTCGATATTACAGCGTAATCTTTATCTAAATGATCATGATGAATAAACAAAGTTTTTAATATATTTATGTCAAAGTTATTATAAATTTATAATGTGATGGTCCACAAAACGGTAATTTCACGAAACTATTAAGTTAAAATAATGGGTTATGAGATATAAGTTTAGTAAAATTGCGCTTTAGAATCGACGCCACTATTAAAAGTCCAATCGAAAATGTAACACGTTTAGTGTAATTAATACCCGATTTTAAAAATTAGTAATTAAATTTTATCAAAACTAAAAATTTCATACTAATATATAAATTAATTATTAATGATTTTAAAATTTATATACTATAAATATCACAATCAAATTTTTTTAATTAAGGAAATATTAGTCTGGAAATTATTAAGTTTAGTAAATAAATTCACTTGAAATAGTATATTATATTCGAAACGAAGGTTATTAAAATTATATATATAAGTATAAAAAAGAATAAAGATAATGTTTCTTTATAAGTATTGATCGTTACATTTTAGCAACAATATTGTATTACAATTGTGTCGAAAATGTAAAATAGTCAGTTGTCACATAGGTGTTTATTGACCCACTTCATATTTGTAACCCGCGCGCGCGTATCAAGTGAAACCGAATATTTTCATATATTATGATTTCACACTATTTATTACTGAAATAAAGTATTTATCACAGTTGAGTAGTTTTATTTATTTATTTCTATACTTTTCTACAGTTATTTATAGTACAGATATAAGATTATAACAAAAATGTACACAGACGGACTTATCCCTTAAAGGTATTTTTCCCAGTAAACCTTGAGAAACCGAAAGGCGAAAGTGTCTATAGGATTTGTATTTTTAATTCGGAATATATAATTGAATATTTTATGCCAATAAAAATATTTATATTGAAGTATTAAATCAATCAATCAATCATTGATTTGCATAAATATAGGTAGTTATAAGTTTAATGTTGTATAACGTGTAAAGCACTATGTTTTATCGTCATTGGGTCAAATATTATCTTTACATAATGCCCCTTAGATTATAATTTTTAATAATAACAATTAAAATAATAAATATTTTATGTTAATTGATACCTGTTATTAGAAATATTAATATAATAATATTGTGATTTCACTTTGTGTTATTTTGTAATATCACATTGTTTTTTGTGAATACGATTGGTATGGAGTGCGTTGATGTCTTTTGTAGGTATAACTCCCGGAATCCAGGACGCGTCATTTTAAAAGTTAAAATTATATTGATTTTACGATTTTATAACTTTTATTACAATTTAACTAAAATAAAATCTTTGTTACGAAAGTAAGTTTTATATATTAATCAAGAGAATAACGGGGTCGGATAATTGTATTAAACACTGCTTACCTTTATTTCTTTGGTGTGATTTTTAACAACTGAATCAGCTGGTTGTGCGAAAATTAATCCAGAAGCACTTCACAGAGAATTTGTATACTTTCCAAAAAAATTTTTCAAAGTCAGTAAATTTCACTAGACGACACGTAAACGCTGTGCTTCAATTACGAATACCTTCGATTTCAAATGTCACCAGTCCAGTCACTTTCGATGAAAACAAACAAAAATGTCGCCGCGAACAATTTACAGGAGCCGCCTAACTGAAAACGCAAACTGAAATCGAGCGATACGCTAAACGACCGCACTGTTAAGTTTATTGTCTTTTCTTTAACTATTTACACGCTATTTAATAGTCTACGAGTAATGCAAAATATATTCTAGAAAAAAAAAGAAAAATTTAAAAAGTCCGCACACTGGCCATTTTCTATTGATGGAATTGCAATTGCGGTTTGCGATTCCATTTTTGAAAAAGTCCAAATTTCGAACGCGAGTCGCGTGTTGCCTGTACGGCGCGCGCGCACGAATGCTCGTGGAGGAGGATTCGGAGCTTCGAATGCTGAAGGGGCGTGGTCAACTTCTAACGCAACGTCTATCCGTATCGCTGTCTCTATCACTTGTACGGGTACGGTTGTATACCCGTCTTTGTCTCTAACGCTCGGTGCGTTACCGGTCTCGGCGTGGTGGGATCGCGTGAACTTTGCCACTGCGCCTGCGCCGGCGTAGCGCGATTAATAAAACGATACGCGCGCGACGTTATAGATCGCGACGCGATTATCTTAACTCTATAGTTTAATGCGATTTGGTTGCTTTTCTTTCACGTATAATCTCCATTGTGAAGGTAATTATTAAAACGTCCGTCCAATAGAAAGTTGTCTTATGGGAGTCGACCTCTCAACTGGTATCCGAGTAATACGATCCATCCAAAAAATTTGCATAAATCGTCAATCGAAATTCGAGATTAGATACATTTATATATGAGTTATTGTTCTGTTTAAACGACCGATTCGATTATATTCCATTCGATTATTTTCAAATCGGTACGTGTTAAGGAATCGTGTACAAATTATAGAAGAATAGCGGTTGTTTTTTTTAAACAATAGACTTTTTAGCGTAGCGTTTAAAGCATTATCTGTAGAACAAAACTGTTTTATTGTTACAGTAATATTTAAATAAGGATATAAAAGTTGACGTTTTTTTGTTCTATTGTTCTTTTAGCGTTGTTTTAGTGAGCTGTCTTTTTATGTTAGTTGTTGCGATGTTACGTGTGGTTTACGGAAAATAAACTCCAACACATTACAAATAATTTATACCTAATTATTTTATAATTTTTATTTTATTCATAAGCACATGTATGTGTACATGGCGGATTTAATGCTAAAAGCATTCTCTCCCAGTCAACATTTGGGAAGTGTTAGAATACTCGGATGCGGTACTAGTAATTATTGATATACATACATACTAAAATTGATATATATAAACAAATAATTATATATATAAATAACAAATATACTTACATATATATTTATTATTATTATTTAAAGGGCTTTTACTTTCTTCAGGTATATCAGCCCTATCGTACCTTAAACTGATTTCTCAAATAAAGCTTTATCTACTTTCCCGAAAAGACACGGAAAGAGAAGAATTAATGGGCATCAATAATTTACAGAGATGTTAAAAAATTTCTGATTTATGTTCAGCTAACATAGATTGAATAAGACCAACGTTAAATTTATTTAAGTTAAAGTGGCGCATGAATTCTTCTCTTTCCTTCGTGTTATAAATAGATATATAAAATATAAATAAACATGTAATATATAAAAGAGGATGATAAGCTACTATTTTAATGTTAAGTCGGTTAAAGTATTCACCTTATTATATATATATATATATAGTTATTTCGTCATCACTCATAGGTACTTACCTACACCATGAGCTTAATTCAATGGCGTATGCAGGATTAGCATTTCATTGTAACTATAAAAAATGGATTGGCGAGGTAAGATGAATAGAATAAAAAGTAGGTAATACATAATTCAAACTTAAGTTAGTAAAAAAAATTATCTATCTATATTATAAAAACACATCTTACATCTACGTGCAATAAATATCAAAAACAAGTCCTTAAAAAAATATTTACAAATAAAAAATTTCTTTGAGATCACTGCCAACTGAATGCAGCAAGTCTCCTAGGTACCTCACCTAGGAGTTACGATGTTGCTTACCGGCTTTCTGCGATTTAGTAGTTTAGTATTAAATCGAAATAACTGGTTTTGCCATAATGGAAATCGGATTTTTTTTTAAATATAATCTTTAATAAACTATAAATATCTAAATAGAAGAGAAACTATAAATATCTAAATAAAGAGTAATTAAAAAATAAAAAATAAATATATTTAAAGATAAAAAATTTCTTTGAGATCACTGCCAGCTGGTACGGTGCTTAGGATACTTGCTGCATTTCCACGCTGAATAGCAATGGAAATGCGTTGACCAAAGTATAGTGCAGCCTTCCGGTCACCAAAGGTTTTCACTAGCCGTCGTGAAATCTCTTTGAAAAGAAAGGCCTCGGGGCCCCATGGACCCGGAGTCTCAACTCTAAATACCGCAAATATACATCCATTGTCAAAGGATGTATATTTACGTCGCTTGATGGTCTCCTGGTTAGTAAAATATATTTATAATGATAAAAATAAAGAGGTAAGATTTAAAAAAGTTATTTAAAAAACTATATACCTAAATACTTCAAAAACCATATATATATATAGGAATATTTTTGATATCAAAGTATTTTCTACGATGGTGACATATATCATTGTGATTATATTTTTTAATCCAATTTCTATATTGTTCCCAGTATAATAATTATTAGAAATTTTGTCTTATTTTTTCTCCTTTTTTTATGTAACTTAGAATGGCAAACAAGCTTACAGCCCACCTGATCGAAAGTGGTAACCGTCGTCAATAGACATAAACAGTATTATGGATATAACAGAGTGTTTTATTTCGCCCATGATACCCACATGCGTTGCCGTTCCTGAGGACTCAGGTGTTATTCCTCTGTACCCTGTAAATTCACTGCCATATCCCACTATTCAAACCGAAACACAGCCATGCAAACACAACAGCTTCACGGTAGAAACACGAATGGGATAAAGGTACCCAAGCAAAAGACTTTTGTACAAAATATCCCTCTGGTCTGACTGTATGGTTGTTCCGGTATCACGCAAATAGGATTTATCTGGATACGCCATCTAGAAGTAGCTTATTTATTGACTTTTCTACGCCTGAAACTTTAGCGATCGAAGTAGGAAGCAAAAGGTCTACACCAATAAAAAAAAAAATATAAATAGGAAAAAATTTATTCTATGTTTACAATGAATAAACTCAAGAACAACTGAACGGATTTTAAAGATTGTTCACGAAACAAGCTATATAAGTATATACATAGTAAGTAATTATCTAATTAAGCGAAACCGGGCCGGATCGCTAGTATTATATAAAAATTAAAGATTTCAAAAACATCCAAAGTAAACTAAATTAGTTCGAGCGACCGCGGTAGGCTCGCCCTCGGCCACTTTGAATTCGAACATGCTCGACTTACTATGGTCATGTCGAGCGTTCTTTTACAACAACGCTGTCTTTTTTTTTATACCACTAAGGTGGCAAACAAGCATACGGCCCACCTGATGGTAAGTGGTTAAATTGATAAATGACAATAAGCATGCAATATATCTACAATAAACTGTTATTTGTACTATTATTATATACAGAGAAGACATGTTTTTTGGATGTTTGTTTGTTCGTAATTATCTACAGAGACCTCTGGCTACCCCATTAGAGACTATAGTCGTGAGAATATTTACTTATTCAAGAGGCTATAAAAATTCGTGTGCATTAGTAAACATAAGCAGCTTATAAAATAGGAAAACTAGTAAGTACTAAGTAAACATTGGACTGAGTGGCTCTTTATGGCGATTCCGTATCCACCGCAGTACAATACTAGCTTGCATATATGAATGCATACATTATATTACGTGGTATTTGTCTCAGTAAATTATGCATGCATTTGCATAATAGGGTTCAGGCACTTTGTCATAAGATATCCGTGTTCAGCCGTCTGCTCTTCGATGGACTGTTATTAATTTTTTATAATCTCTCGCATTTTGTAATGCCATAAACGTAAATGCGGTTAATGATAAATGCGGTGATGAGCGTACAATATATTTACAATAAACTGTTATCTATACTATTATTATAAATAGATATGTTTTTTGTATGTTTGTTTGTTCGTAATAGATAGATATCTTTTTTATTATGTATATATTTTTTGCCATTATGACATATAGGAATAGGGATATATCCTAAAGTACCTACAGAATATATCTATTTAGGAAGCAGGGTTTCACCTATGTTTAAAGATGTTTGTAACATTTATTTTGAAATAAAACTTAACTTATTATTATTATTTTTAAAATTTTTACAAAATTTCTTAAGGAGTGGAGATGGCAAACTAATCCCCGACAGAATCTGCTTCTCTTAACCCTTCTTTGCATATTAGTGGAAATTTCCATCATAACATTGAATGCCCAAAAATTATACAAAAGAACAAGCTCACTTTAAGTTGATCGTTTCTGGATACCTTTCTAATGTCCATTGCAAAAAACAAAACATAGCTATCAAAGTTATTTTTTTAACCATTTTTCCTTTCTTTTTGAACATGAATTATAACACCTTGATTTATTTCACCAATAAAGAAGAAACATGCAAAAAAGGTTTAAGCGACGTAGGCATACAAATATTTACTATATTATGTCATTTAAGTCATTATTACATTTGTGTGTGTGCGCCATAGCAACAAAAAAATGGTCACAACTCAGTTTATTGCTTTGATTGTCCTTGCTTGAAAGAGCAAAATACTGATATTCTGTTGTGATAAAAAGTCAAAAGCGATGGATAAACTAAAGTCGTTTGTTTGGGTACCTCTGTTTCATTTACGTTTATGCCATGAATCAGTTTGTAGATAGATAAAATAATATTTCATATGTTATTTTTATTAGCAAATTGTAATACTTTAGGTTACATTACTGTAAATTTCGTAAAAGTCTCTCTTTTTTTTTTGGAAATAACACAGCCTATGCCACTCATTGATTAGGGAGCTACCCTATAGATGAAAGAATGTTTAAAATCAGTTGTTTTCAAGTTTTTTCATTGCATGAAAATAAAAAATAAAAATTTATAAAGCTAGTGTAGATAGGTAAGTAAGAAATAAGAATAAATACTTACTTTGTATATATGTCAACATATTTATTATTTCTTAATAGAAACAACTATACTGTTTTCTACTATTATTGTACGCATACTGCCCGCTAGTAATTAATGCTCCTCTCCACTCAGGGTTTGCTGGAAGAGAACTCTTACAGAGTTAAGCTCGCCTATTGTACATCTTTATTTTATATATATATATATATATATATATATTATATGTTCGTAATTTTTTGTGTACAATAAAG